ATAGGGGTAGGGATATGTTCCGGGCTGGTAACAGAGGCTGAGAGTAAGTCGGGCCTGTCCCCCTACAGGAGGAATATACAAAAACAGTATAAAAAAACAGTCCGGGGACGATTTTTCTATGATTCTCTTGTTGTTTGTGCATCTTTGTGGAGCACTGTTCTATTCCTTGTCCAAAATCCGGCATAGGAGGACATGCCCGACCTAAGGCTAGAACGCCGCAGAGTCCAACAGGTTCTGGGTCGTTTTATGTTCCTCCTACTCCTCTCACCCATGCTCCTCCAAGGGGGTCGACGGAAGGCACGGGGAGCCGCGTGGGAAGCGCGGCTGCGACTGAATTCTTGGCATTTCGCATGCCCCCACCGGCCCATCCAGAAACGATACCCGGGCGAGCTACATTGATCATGGAAGTGTGTGAGTGTGAGCAAGCATTGTAGTGAAGAAGAGGGGCAGCCGTCAAACCACAGCTCTGGATCAGCCCGAGCAGGCCCACGAGTCCACAGATGCCTTCGCTGGTTCTTCTACTTGGCATCGCTCGGACGTGTGCATGTTTCCTTCGGCGAGGACCATCGAGGAGCATCCTTGATCCTTTCGCGAAAAAGCCACTCACGAAACTGAAAAAAACACAGGGAATGGACGTCCGAGCGATGGCCAGTTTTTGGTAATATTTGAGCCCTCGCAGGTCCGTTCTGGAGGCCTTTGGGGCTCTCTTGGGGCCCTCGTGGGCTCGTTTAGGGCCCTGTTGGGGGCCTTCCGGCCCTCTAGGGGCCTCTTGGAGAATGTCGATCAAAATAGGAGGGCCATTAATCAGTGTGGCCCCGTCGGGCCCGAAAGGACGCCTCGTTGGACCCTTTGCCCGTCTTGGGGCGATCTTGGAGCCAACTGAGGCCTCAGAAGCCCGTCAGAAACGTCAAGGCGAGAGGGCCAAGATCATTCATAGGTTTTCGGGGGGTCATATGGTTGAGGGGGAGGCTCCGAGGCCATTTGGAGCAGTCTCTGGACAGCCTTGGGACCTCCTAGGCATGCTGGAGGCCACCTTGAGCCAAGTTTGAGCATCTTGCGCCGTCTTGGAAGCCACCCTCACACGCAGGAGAGCACGTGGGAGCTTTCCCAGGGGGGCCTCGTGGAGCCTCCTGGTGGCGCCTTCTGGGGGCCTCTGGGCTCGTCCTGAGGCCATCTTGGGCCGCCTCGGCGGCCCCTGCTCTCCGATGGCTCACCAGGGGGGTGCAGCGCTTAGTGGGCCCCGGAAACGGCAGGGCCGTTTTTTCACCGTTTCCAGAAATGCGCCCCTTGAAAATGGAAAGGGCAACAACGACGGCGATCGGACACGGCAGCACAAACGGCTCCAGGACTGGGGCCGGAGCCGGCACCGGTCAAGAAGCGGCGACGGCACCGGTAAAGAAACGGCGTCGGAACCGGCAAAGAAAAACGGCAAGTTGGAACCTGTAACAAAAAAAGGCCCTGTCGTTTCCAGGGCCCATTTGAGGTGCAGCGGCCCCCATCCGGCTCCCGTTCAGAGGTCTCCACGCCTGCCTGCGGCAAGCGGCCCTGCACGGCGTCAGCTCTTCGCTCGGGTCCCGACGCGGAGCGGCAGGGCGAGCGCCGTCGTGCTCACGGGTCACGCCGCTCAAGCGCACGCGGCTTTGCACACGACCATGGTAGGGCTCAGTCTGCGATGCTGATTTATGTCCGACGGGGCGCCCCCGCCACACAGTATTCCCTCGTTGGTTGAATGCCCAAGCGAGAGTTCACTGCCGTCACCAGGATTGGGCGCCCTGGACAGAGAAGTTGCGCAGCCAGGGGCTCCTGAGAAGTCATCGAAGGTCCGAAGTCTAAACAGGCTTCGGGTGTCTCACCTCCGAGTGGGTGAGCATCGCTGTAAACCTACACGGGATGCCAGTGACTGCAGTCCTCATAGTGGGGACCAGCGAGTCGTTCTGTTCAGTGGGCTCTTGTACCTTTTCTCCCACAAGCTGCTAAAGGAACTTGGGGACGGCGAGGAGTACCACGAGGCTCCGTGGCTTCTCTTGCTTGGTCGCACTGGCAGCGGCGCTGTGAAAAAGTTGCCTGCTCTTGCGATTCCGTGAGCCGTTCGCATGGCAAGGACGAATCGTTCTTGTGATGCGAGAGGGTGGCTTGTATGACACGAGAGAGTGGTTATTGTGGCAGCTGTTCTTAGGACAGCGCGAATTGCGTTTGTGATGCGTTAGGTTCTCACTGTGTCATGGTACTCGTTGTTCGCAAACCCTAGTATCGTTGACACGACCGGTGCAGCATTGATCAGAGGTGCCCGCGTTAGGCAGTCTATCATAGACTGCCTGACGCGGGCAACTCTGAGTCACCGTGTCATCGTAGCTCACACCGCGTCTTGCATCCAGCCGCACGCAGCAGGAGTGCTTCAGCTGCACGCCGAGGCTCCGGTCACGCTCGGAGTACGCATGCCGCCTGACAAGTGCAGGGAGAAAGGCATGGCAGGGAGAGGGAGGACCGAGGGAGGATGTCGGGACGGGAGCACCGGGAGCGCCGGCGTGAAGGAGGAGAGGCGCGCGGGGAGGGTGCGGCAGGGGACGGGGCACGGAGTGTGTTCGCCCTCCCCCCTCCGAGAGCCCACGGGGACCGCAGAGGATCAGCTGGGCACTGCCGCAGGGCCCCTCGAGGACCTTCTCTGGAGCTTCTCCTGCCCGCCCCCAATCTTTAAGTCGGAAAGCAATCCAACAATAGTCCAGCAATAGTCCTGGGGACTATTGTTTGGGTATTGTTTGACCCTTTGGGGGGCATTTCTGGAGTATTTTGTTATTTGTCGTCGAAAATCCCCCTGTAAGGGGACACGCCCGACATAACCCAACCTTCGGAGCGCGGCCCTTCGTGGACGCCCCGGGCTCCCGCGGGGACTGGGGCGGCGCGGCGCGGCAGGCGCGAAGCGGGGCGCTGCGAGACCGCCTGGGGGGGGGGCGCAGGATCGGTGCGACCGAGGTGGGGGCGATCCTCCGCCCCCGCACCCCCCGTGTGGACGGCAGCGGGGGGACGATTGACCACAGTCGGGGCCCTGAAGAAGGAACCCTTTTGGTTGGGGAGGGGCTCCGTGTTCCTTAGTTGTTTCGCAGCTTGCCTTGGATTTTCCTTAGGTTTTCGATGCGAAATCGAAGTTTAACTTATGGAGAATAGGGGCCTCGTTCCTTATTTAATCGCTTCGCTCATGCCGCCGGCCCTGGAGCCCTCTTTAGGGCCTCTTGGGGGCCTCTTGGGGACCTCTTGGGAGTCTCTTGGGGCTCCTTGGCGGCGTTTTGGAGGCCCCCAGGGCCTCTTGGGGGGCTCTTGGGGGTAGTCGATTGCGGCTCCCCCCTCGGAGGCCACGATCCTCGTGAGGGGTGTCGAAAAATACCCTCCCCTGGAGTGGTCTGGTGGCTTCTCCCGGGCTTCTCTCGGGACCTTGCCGGGGTACTTTTCGTCCGGGGGCCCCCAGGGGCCGCTCCGCGCGCGCGAACTAGAAATATTGTTAACAAGTTACCGGAGATCTTAGCACGCCTCTGGCCAGTTGGGCCGGCGAATTTAGGGTTCCTTAGGTCAACGCCTCGACTGTACAGCAGAGTGGCCCCAAAGGGGCCCCTGCACCCCCCCGTGTGGACGGCAACGGGGGGGACGATCGACCACAGCAGCCTGGCATCGCTCGGACGTGTGCACTTTTCCTTCGGCGAGGGCCATCGAGGAGCATCCTCGATCATTTGGCGAAGCAAATTACGCACGAAAGCGAACAAAAGACACAGGGAGTGGACGTCCGAGCGATGGCGAGGAAGAGTGGCCCCAGAGGGGCCCCGAAGGGTTCCCAAGCCGCCACCTCTCGGGCCCAGGACGGGGGGCCCGAGGGGTGCGCGCCGCTTCCCCCCCCCCCCCCCCCGGGGCTTGCCCCCCCCCGTGAACGAACACCCGAGCCCGCCGGGTCCCCGCAGGCTTCCAGGTGGGCACCAACACCAACATCGGCGGGGTACCTTCACCGAGGGAGGAAGATCCCGATCTCGGTGATGGTGGTAGTATTCTGGCTTCCAAGGTGACCGAAACATGACCACCGACACCGAAATCGAGGAGCATCTTCCGCCTGTGGAGGCACACCGCCGATGTTGGTGTTGGTGCCCAGTTCCAGGCCTTCAAGGTCCCCAGAGACCTGGGACGTTGCAGACCAGGACTCTGTGAGGTCCAGCCGGCAAGGACCTGGACGGCCCCCTGGGAGGAGGAGGAGGAGGAGGAGGAGGAGGAGGAGGAGGAGGAGGAGGAGGAGGAGGAGGAGGAGGAGGGAGGAGGAGGAGGAGGAGGAGGGAGGAGGAAAACAAGGAGGAGGGAAAATGCTCCGCCCCCCACGGCCGCAGCTCTCTCGGGTGCGCGGGCGTCTCGGCGTGTCAAGGTCCCCGGTTTCGGCAGCCAGTGGCTCCGCCGACGGCTTCTGTGCACCGTGCCGCGGTGGCGTCTCCCGAGGCGTCGTCGCCTCTCGGCGCCCAGGAGCCGGAGGTTGATAGACCTCCTACTTCGATGCTCGTTTCGGGGACCTTCCTGGAGCCCACCTGACGGATCTGTTCGACCCCAGTTCGACTCAAGTTCGACTCAAGTTCGACTCAAGTTCGACTCAGGTTCGACTCAGGTTCGACTCGACTGACGTTCGACGCAGCTTCGACACACGAGTGGAGCGAGTGGCTCCAGGAAGGTCCCCAGAACGAGCATCCAATCCTACCCTGACACGTCGGTTAGCGAATTGGCCGTTTTCGGCTCGCGGGAGGGCGTCGCGGCCGTCATCTTTGCGGGCCGAGGCCCGTCAGTTTCGGTCCCAGGCCGTTTTCACCACAGGTTGGTTTACTGAAGGGAGGTTTGTCCACCGCCGGAGGAGTGGCACGGTGCACAGTGATAAGTCCCCCCCAGAGCTGAACAAAAGTGTGCACCGGACTGCGCTGGAGCGGGGCCTGGAGGGACCCCAGACACGGCACGGTGCACGGGCGCTGTTCTTGCAAATGGGGCCCTCGTATGTATTCGCGTTGCTGTCCTTGGGATGCACTGGCGTGCGCAAGCGTCTGGTAATCGAGGCCGATTCAGCGTCGATTAGCGTCGGTTCTTTCTGGAGGATCGATGTTGGGTACGGACAGACTGGGTACGAAGACCGACAGCATTTCTTGTCCGTTTGGAACAGAAGTCGTTGTCGGTGTCGCCGCGGACGCTGTCCACTTGAGACAGAAGGCCGCCTGTCCAACAGCGGCCGCTGTCGCGGTTATGGACAACACTTGTTGTTGGGCATCGCACCCATTTTTGCTGGTGCCCATTTCGGGCGTCCAAATAGGAGGGCGCGTTGTGGGAGTAGACAGGTCTGATGCGCGCTCGCACGAGTTTGTTTGGGTATGCACCTACGTCATCCTCCCTCGTCCTTCCTCCTCCCCTTGCCGCCTCCTTTCCTGCTCGCGCTACCGTCAAGACGATGGGGGCAGGACCTTTTGTGGGCCCCGGAAACGGCAGGGCCGTTTTTCCACTGTTTCCAAAAAATGCCCCTCGAAAATGGAAACAGCAAAACATCGGCGACCGGAAACGGCAACAAAAACGGCTCCAATTGAACCAGAGCCGGCACCGGTCAAACAACGGCGACGGCACCGGTAAAGCAACGGCGTCGGAGCCCGCAACCAAATCGGCAAAACGGGACCGGTAACAAAAAACGGCCCTGTCGCTTCCAGGGCCCACTTAAGGTGCAGCGGCCCCCATCCGGCTCCCGTTCGTCGGACCGCCCGAACTATGATTATGTTCCGCTGTTGTCGGGCGGGGTCGTGTTTCCGAGTCGTCAATCAATTCGCCCGAAAGACATTTGTTTTCCATCAATTGGCCAGGGGATTTCTAAAGATTCAACGGGTTTAAGTTGGGGGAGCGTAAGACCTGGGTTTGCCAGGACTCGGGTTCGCCATCGTTTTTTGACGACCGCGCCTCGGATTTTGACGAGGAGGAGTTTCGTGGGATGTCTGCAGCGGGAGGCATCGTCAAAATGCAGGCTCGGCCTCGTCATTTTTGTTGACGACCTCGTCGGGGATTTCCGAGTCCCCTGTACCCGGGTCTTACGTCCCCCTGGTGAAGGGCCGGACCGCTCTGGGATCACGAGGGGAGCCTCTGACTGCCGGGCCGTGCTCTGTGGACTCTGGTCGGGGGAGAGCCTGCTCGTGGCCGAGGCTGGCCGTGGCCAGACTTGGGATGTTCCAGCCTACGACGGCGGGGGGAGGAGGAGGAGGAGGAGGAGGAGGAGGGGGAGGAGGAGGAGGGGGAGGAGGAGGAGGAGGAGGAGGAGGAGGAGGAGGAGGAGGAGGAGGAGGAGGACCTTCCTGGGCCTCGGCAGAGGGGGGGCCAGATGTCGGCGAGACGCAGAGGGGGGGGAAAAAGGTGCCAATGACCCTCCCCTCGTGTTCGCTTTCCGGGGGCTCCTGGGTGGCCCTCGTCGCCACCGCTGGATGCGCCTCGAAACTCTATTCGGAGCGCCACCCCAGGAAACGTCCGGGAGTGTCGGGGGTGGACAGAACCCCCAACAGTGACACGTCGATTGGTGAGTTGTCGGTTTTCGGTTCTCGAAAGGGCGCCGCGGCCGTTATTTTCCAGGCTTGCGCCCGCCAGGTTTGGGCCTCCGGTCGTTTTCACGAAACCACGTTTTACTAAAGGGAGGTCTGTCCATCCCCGCTTGATCACCGAAGAGAAATTCGTGCACCAAGACAGTACCGAAGCTTGAGGGCTTTCACGCGTCGGGCCCTGGGGGGCGATACTCGGTCGACACCGTTTCGATACTTCCCTGGGTGCTCGAAGGTATGTCTGGGTTGCGGTCCTTAAGTACGATGGGAAGAGCACGGTGCTAGAAAAGCCCTCTTGCCCTTGACTCGGCGTTCTCTGTGGTAGGCGGCGCGATTCGTGCACGCTGGCCGCCAGCCAGCACGATCGGTCTGCCGGTGGTCTTCGGCAGGAGGCCAGGACGGCCTCGACGCCACGCCCACATGGGCGAGAGCGGGGTACGCGACCCAGGCATTCGACGTTGTCCTTATCGTCGTCGTCGTCGTCGTCGTCGTCGTCGTCGTCGTCGTCGTCGTCGTCGTCCCTATCTCCCTTGGGTGTGGTGGGCTCCAGGGGGCGGCAGGTTCGAGGTTGTTGAGCGTTTCCGTAGGCTCTCGACAGTTTCGCAGCTTCGGGATGCTCTGCACCAGCGGCGCATCGCCGAGAGCGTTCCTGGGGGTGCCCGGATCGACCCGAACAGGCGCCAGAGGCCCCAATGATGCCCCGAAGGCCACCCGCATTTTGCCCCTCCTCTTCCTCCTCTTCCTCCTCCTCCCTCCTCCCCCTCCTCCCCCTCCTCCCTCCTCCCCCTCCTCCCCCTCCTCCTCCCTCCTCCTATTTTCCCGCGAGCTCCAGAGTGGCACGGCCCTCGGGCCGGCCGGGAGTGGCGTGGAGCGCAGGAGAGGCGTCAGGGCTGGCTGCGGCAAGCTCTTTCGGCCCGGAGGTGGCCAGTGA